ACGTCCACTGCAGGCTTCCTACGATTTCCACGAAAGCGGCAGTGATTTTAAGCATTTTCAAAAAGGCAATAAAGCGCCGAAGATTTCGGATATTTCTACAACCGCAATAAACATCGACATTTCGCTTAAATTGCGCCCAGGCCAGTCGTTTAGCACCGAATTAGCACTTTTTTCTATCATTTTGCGATTTTTGTATGCTTAATCACTGTGTTAATTAGTTCTATAGGGAGATTATGTCGTCACGATTAATTTGAAGCTGGAATCCGAGCTAAGAGCGTAATAGTTCAATACCTACTGTCATTGATAATACGATAATGCGAGGTTGTTAGATAAATTGTGTGGATAACGTTTCAGCGTCATCGACTCCACAGCAGTTCATTTTCGTGTTTGCTGTAAGCCTTTGTAGTCACACCGAGTAAATCCAGTGGAGCGATACACCACGCGAATGTGATAGTTCAATTGGTACTTCAAGCAACAGATTGTATTATATTAGTTCAAGGGCGGTTCTTAACCCTGTGATATCATTTGCTAAATTCTAACAATTAGAAGTGTCTTTTTGTTAGAACAAATAAAATGGCTCAACAATAAAACGTTTGTGAACTCCTTCGTTTGAGCAGCAAGCCACTGATCAAACGTAGCTCTTACAACTCACATGAGGCCAAATATTTAAAACCAGCCAAACTCCAGTCAGCAGAGAACTCCATTCAACATTACGGAAAGGTGATCGAGAAATCTTTGCAGCTATTGTCCAATCATTTTGTGGAATATTCATCGAAACATCAAAACGCAATATTCAAGACATTTGATGAGGCCTTTTGTCCGCTCGACTCCGGGGAAAAAGTTTGTTATGTGAATTTCGCCACTACAAAAGAGCCTTCGAAACCTGCGAAAATCATTCCGCGAACCTACCCGATTTTTCTGCAAATGCCAATTCTGGAGTGCGCAAACGCTGCCCTTGAATGGTCCTGATATTTCTATTTAACATGAAATGTATCCTCGTCGCCGAACGAAAAAAGGTTAAACTAGTTGTTTGACTGGGAATGAGTTCAAATAAGTCCTTCTCCTATCTACGGTCAAAGATTTAAACCCAATGTCTTCCTTGGTGTCAATTTTCATAAGACGGAGCTCTCGTGTTGTTTCAACAAAGCGTACGACAACAGTTATATTGTCGTCTCATACTCTTTTGATTTCACTTGGCTCCATCATGTTTATTCAATGTACACTAAAAACATACCAGATGAGTCAAAATTCATGCTGACGGCTCGTTTGATTTTGAGCTCGAATTCAGTTTTCTACACTGTACCTAGATAGAGCTCCATAACATTCTCTCTTTAAGCATCTTTTGCTCTCAGAAACATAGGCAGCAAGCTTGCAAACATCCTAAAACCGATCATTTTTGTCTGATTCACCCAGGGAGACTCGAAATTCCTTTCATGTGGTTCTAAAATTAGGAATTCGCTACATATCTAGATTACTTTGTCTTCCACGCACTTGCAGCAAAAACTTAAACTAACAGCCCTGTTAAAAGCAGAGTTTTATCCAACAATTTTATCACACGCTATCTTGTTTTTCTCCTCTTTATTTGCTTAAAATTTAGCACAACTAATTGAATGATCTCCTTTACGGGAGCGATCTCGAGTCGGTCTATAGCGAGGTTGTCTGGCGTGGTGGGAGTGAGAGTTATACGCGTGCCAAAGCACCCATCCTCTCCAACGAATAACCCTAAGTCTCCCCTAAGCTCACTCTCCCAAACAGTGGAAGCGAAAGGAATTACTCGAGATAACACTGATGTTCTTTGCTTCTCAAATGAGAAGAATGGACTGGACAGTTCTTGTTCAGCAGCACATATAAAAACTTCATAAGCGGTCGAAATTCATACTGATGTTTCTACGGTTCTTCGTGACTTCATCACTATAACGCCTGTGAAATCTAGGCTCAAATGCTTTTAATAATTCCACAAAAACCCATCATCAATTGATGTACAGATCAAAATGTCACATTCGAGATCGATTCACTCCAGAGGATCGATTCCTTCCATTCGCATAGAGTTTGTTCAGTGCGAAGAAGAATAGACACCATGAAATAAAGCAAGACGTCAGTTCAATATTCCCTTTAGGACATGCATGGTCACCTTTGCTACTCAACAACAAGCCAGACATCTTTAATGCTTTTATTTTGGCAACGATCTATATGATTGTCTTGTTGTGTGTTACGTTTTCGTCGAACGATATGAAGACGGAGCCTTACAGACGAAAGCTGCGGGAGGGGTTGACCACTGTGTTTTGTTTTTATCACATATCTATGAGTTTTACACTCTCCAGGATTAAAACAATAAGCACTGCAAACATGAGCAGACTTAAAGCATTTCATTTTGCGTTAACGTAGAGATTTTTGTAAAGTGCAAACGCCTATTTCATTGAGGATCTCCTTCTCAGCGGCTTGAGTTTGATAGAGCTGAAAGAAGAGCTCTTCGACTGAGCGATGACTACATTTCGACGACCGCCCAGAACTAAAATGACGTTAATCGCAAAAAATGAAGGAAATAAAAGCAAAAGAAATTAATAACTGAAAGCTTTACTATCTGATGAAGTGATACGTCGTAATTTTCACGCTAGTAGTCATTCTCATACATTTCTTTTTTTTGTTTTAATAAGATTTTTTTCATCGGCAATGCGAAAACGCGTTGTCGAAAGTGGGAAATCACGTCATAGCGCAAGCTGGGATGTGTTTAGAATGAATGAGAAATGTATTGAAACCAGGGCACAGCACAATTTAGGCAATTTTGTTGGCTTTGAGTAAGAATCGACTAGTTCACAACATTGAAGGACAAGCTAAGAAAAGATCGTCACTTGTGGACGGCTTTGTAGTCACATGGTTGCTCTCCATCCATTTCAATTTGCCCTACAGGTATTTCAAGTACCCAAGAAGTCCGACGGAACCCATCCTAATAAATCAACCTCACCACTCTAAGCATGCAGACATTGGAGATCGTGATGCGTTACAAGAGATCATGGATTGTCCCCAAAATGAACTGTGAGATTTGCGTCATTACAAACAACAATTCACTATGAAATGTTGATGAAACTAGTTTTGTAGTGAGCGCAAATCTTCGCCAACCCAGTTACTCTAACGAGATCACGTTCCTTATTCGGTCTTACTTTTTACTTTCCCATTCCAATCTATATGAGAAAAAGAGTAGTTATCAGAGATTCCTCCAATCCATACCTTCTATGAATATCTCTCACTTATTTTCCATCACTAAAAGACGTCACGAAGTAGTTCATTGCTAGGAGAGGTTACCTAAGAGATCTACATCGCTGAAAAATACTTCTACCAAGGAAAAATGAGGAAATAGGAATAACCTCTCAAAACTTCTTTAAGCATACGTTGCTTTCGTGAAATTTCCTTCTTCAAGAAGAAGCGTGGCGACGGCTAACGAAATTTTTAATCGCTTGCTGGTTGGTAGATAACTTTACTTCAACACATAATTTAGTCAATAAAAGGGTAGAAGAGCCTTTTCATTTCCCATTGGTTGATTCTTATGGGAAAATCTATCTGGATACGAAATTTTGTCTTTCATGGAGGACCAGCAAGTCATAATACTACGAGACAGCCTTCGATGAATTCCTACTGGGATATGGAGGCGCCGTGTGTAATAATCCGAAGCATAACCATGACTATCTGCTAAAAATATCTCACCTCGCTTCACCCCATCGTCCTACTTTAGTTCAGCAGCAAGAAACTCTATCCGTATTTTGACTAGAAAAAATGGTGTACCAGAGCAGAAAGGAGTTGTTGCTTTATCGACATACGACGACACTAGTGGTAATGGTTTATTCTCAGGAATATTTGACTGCTGAACATCGTAAACGCAGTCGATGACGAAGAGCGACATGTCAAGAACGCCGAAGAATCGTTACTGTTTCACCATCGATAGATTGAGAAGTACGTCGTGCATTCGAACCCTTTTTGTAAGCTAATCATCATGACTCCATGGTTGCTCAAACCAACAACTTGTGATTTCCATCGTCGAATTGACATTCTCTTCTAAGCCTCGCACCACCGTCGTTTTCTTCGCATATATCCAGCACTACAACAACATGGAAAATTTATACGAATGATGATATTTAAATCACAATAACGCCATCGCTGCCGGTCTTCTTCCGTCTGAATGCCCTTAGTTGGGTGTTTTGATGAATAACTTTTCAAAACACATGTTGAATATTTTAAAGTCATGCGGGAACGAGAAGAATAAAGATTAGACGCAGCTTAGTAACACAACTAAATTCTATGGGTAGAGTTAAGCGCTAAATCCCATTGTTCGATTTCATATTCCACCATATGTTAGTAGCAACAAACACTATTGAATTCAGCGAATACAGTGAAACCCAAGAAAGGAAGCACCTTCTAGATGACACAGTTGTCGATGCTAAAGAATTCTCGCACTTTTCAGTTAGACGATAACTGATGCACAGGAAAATTTTCGATGAAACCAAATATTTGGTTGCTTAAAAATTAAGATTTCATGCACCTCAATAGGCTTTTCCTCTGTAGTTTTTTTTGCAAACGCTTGATCTTCGAATTTGAGGCTCTTTCTCCTTCTTTCTCTCTGTCTCTTTTTCCTACCAACTCATTTGCACGAAGATGAAACTATAAAAGCTTACCGTATCATAGAGAGCTTTTCCTCATCACCAACGTGTTCCTGAATTTTCTTGGCAATCTGAATACGTGACATCCATAACGAATTTCTTACTTATGAAACACGTCGATCGTTTACTTATGTTTGTCCCTGTGCTGAACTGAGACTAAGAGTTAGAGTCTCACTCGTAACAACACGGCTCTGAGAAAGGCGAAATCACTGAAACGTCAGCCTCTACCAACAATGCTAATAACAACGACAACGACGACGACAACTACAGCAGCGATAACAAAAACTTATACCAAGCTAGCATCAGCTCAACAAGATCAGTTTAGAAGGTCATGTAAATAAATATCTCAACTTAGAGCCAGAATCTAAAAAAAATATTGCTCAAACTGGTCAGAGACATCAGAAAGACTCTGTTCTCCGAATGGTAAAAACATGACTTCAAAAAATCCAAAACCTCTAAAATTGCATTCCAGTGTGGATAACCTAAGCAGCTCCAGAAACTCGCGCCGAAAGAGTGGGTAGATAAAATCGGAGATATTTCTTTTTAAATTTTCAAACACTCGCACTGATTTTAAAGGCCACTGTCATAACAATCAACTGCAGCTGTCGATTCAAATAAGCAATCCAAATACAAGGAGTAATACGGTTTCGAGTGAGCTTACGCTTTTGCAGAGGTGAACAGCTCGTACAACGGTGCATCCCTCTTATTCCAGCGATCAGTGAAAGTCATTTGAGACAGACCCAGCACACACAGCGCACACAGAACGACGATCACCGCTTGCATCTGAATAGATTGAGTGGAATGGCTGATAAACAGCATCAGCATAGAGCAGCTAGGCTTCAGAACGTCACCGTTTGCCTCCCAGTAGTCACAGGAGAGCTAGAGAGATGTGAGACTACAGTGGCAGGCCTGGGCCTAGCTGTCGGTTTTTGCGAAAGCATTTGGCAAAGAACATGGAAAAGTTGAGAACCACTGGTATTTAAAAATGGAATTACCCCGTTCGTTCGTTGGTTTCCTATTGCTATTGAGAACGAAGCTCCAAAGACGTTGTCTATCCACAAGGACTGGCCAGAAACTGCTATAGAACAGCGCCGGTGGGTGGCTCCGCCTTCTGTGGTGATGTCACCAGCAAGCGCTTTCCGCCACCTATTGTTAAACTATCATCTCGATAACAAAATTTCAGTGGATGTAACGGCAAAAATTCTTAGATGACAAATAACTGTAATCATAAGTGGTATTGGTAATGAAACAACCGGCAACAAACTGTAGTAAGGAGGAAGGATGACAGCGTGACAAGGAGAAAACGACTTCCATGGAACGCCTTTCGCCTTCAGCTCTGAATACAGTACGCTTAAAGGCAGCAAAAGTCCTGCAGTGTATGAAGTAAAGTTTGCTTCATCCAATGGTTATGATGATCGCGAACTGCTATCCACCGCACCAATTCCGAGGTCCCTCATTTACCTTTCTTTCAGCGATGTTTCTATTTTAGCAGTGCTACCAACAATCACTCGCCGACAGGAACTATCTGAAATTATCAATAAATGTAGTATATAATATAGTTAAATGATAAATAAAATAATATTTTAAAATTCTGATTTTTATAACAATAACAGCTTTACTAACTGTAATACTATAGTAATATTTCGTAACCGACTTTCCCTGAACCTCGGTATCACTAATCAATATGTATTCTTTCTTTGAGCTTACACGAGGTTGATAATGATGTTTATTTTCGGCTAACGTTTCGACGTCTTCGTCTTCCTCAGAGCCGATGATCCGAGTCGATGGTCCTCGCTTGTTATTCGTCTCGACGTGGCAGCTTCGCCTTCGCGTCGAGTCAGGTCTTCTTCAGTTAGCCATCTCCTCGAATCAGGCATCCTTACTCAGTGATGCCCTTCTCTACACAATGCTGATGGTGGATATAATGATAATGTCCGGTGATAACAACTTGTTTTTCTCCCGGACATAATCATTGCGCACATCGTGCACTGAAGAAGACCTGACTCGACACGAAGGCGAAGCTGCCACGTCGAGACGAATAACAAGCGAGGACCATCGACTCGGTTCATCGGCTCTGAGGAAGACGAAGACGTCGAAACGTTAGCCGAAAATAAACATCATTATCAACCTCGTGTAAGCTCATCAAGGAAAAAATACTATAGTAATAACTCCCAAGTCCGACTTTCTATTAACCTCGGCATTGATTGAATATATCTTACTTCTGTTCAGCAAGCACGAGGTGCTATTTTATTTCTTTATTTACGCACAAGCTGACGTTTCGGCGGATTTCACCTTCCTCAGAGCCTGGAAAGGTCAAGTTCCCTTCATTTCAAGTGAAGTAAGTGCAGCTATAAAACGCTGTTTAAGAAGGGCCAGTCTAGAGAATTCGGTAACGATAATCGAAATACCACCGAATAATCTAAGGCGCCAGCTAGTTCGTAACCGCCTATACGACCGTCTATGTGCAACGCAAAATTGCATAATTTGCCCCAATGGTAGAGACGGTAACTGCATGAGTTCGGGTACAGTCTATCTGATCTCTTGTAAAGCGTGCGGGGACGAATACGTTGGCGAAACGGGTAGGCCACTCTGCGTACGTATGAAAGAACACCTAGTCGGTAAACGTAAGCGAAGTACTCCACTAGGTACGCATAGCACGCAGAAACATAACGGAGAAGATTTTGAAGTAAGGGTTACTATCCTCGCGCAAGAATCGAGAACACAGGCGGGAAAAACTCTAGAGACATTCTGGATATATTCCAAGAATCCAAAAATGAACCACAGGGAGGAATGCCTCGTTATCACGCGTGATATTGGACAGCATATAAACCTGTTATTCTGATGGGAGAGGCACATTACGCTTCCATGTGAATTCTGTGCGGTCGGTCTTCACGCGACATACTTAGTGGAAGACTCATAGAAAGCGGTGAGTGTGCAGAGCCATGCTAAATGTGATTGAAATCTTGGTTTAGCGTTTTCTCTGTTTGGTTATGGAGGTGTTTGGCCGAGTGGATTGCTGTCAACTTGACCCTTCTAGGCTCTGAGGAAGGCGAAATCCGCCGAAACGTCAGCTTGTGCGTAAATAAAGAAATAAAATAGCACCTCGTGCTTGCTGAACAGAAGTAGAAAGACTGTAGTAATATTTTCATAAATTTTCAATAGCAGTAGCAATGAATTCCTGCAATTTTAACACGTATTTCAATGCTTATCTTATCAACTTCGTCTTTGATTATCAAATAAAGACTGCACTTATTTCAAAACTTTTCCAACATCGCACTCAAAACGTAAAATTTTTGATAAGATGCTTCTTCTAAGGGTGAGTGTAGTGCACTGGTCAGAGGTGCCCTGCAATACTCACGAGATCTATCCTCGCGCCCCAGGCTCATCAAGCCTTTCATCACTTTAGGAACGGAAAATTGGCACCAAACTTCTCTCGTAGGATAGCAGCACCGACTCGACGCATCGGTAGGCAACCGTGAGTCATTTTGTAGGCCAGATATGCATTAAACCATTTCTAACGGTCCTTAACGAAATTCAATGTATGGCTCATCCCTCAGGGATTAATGAACGCCATGGGCTTTTTTTACACCTTTTCGAACTCCGTTTAGATGGCAGTAACTTTAATCGTGGTATCAGAATATCGAATAGTTCTCTCCATGACTGAAACCTAATGGATAATGTAATGTGATAATGATAATTGAATGTAACAAGAGAAGTACAAACCGGGCAGTTTTTTCTCCCGTCTAGATTTCAATAACATTATGATACACTCTCATTTACTTTATTATAAAGCAGAAGTGCATTAACTTTATCATACTCTACTTGGACACTGTAGTAATAATAGCTCAGCTGTGTCAGCCGCACAATCATATTGCATCATTAAACTTATTGTGACGATAGCAGTTACACTGACATTCATTTCATGCTTTTCTAGACATTCGAAGCAAAGTCTAACAATCGCATCGTCAGGTGATGAGGTTTTTCTGTGCAGTTTTCCGCTCCAGTGGATTCAACTCGATGCGACAATGAGGATTCACTTCACAAGAAAGTACTGCTATAGAGCTTTGAATCGAATCATGCCGACTATGAAAAAAGAAAAGGCGTCGAAACATTGACAGTAATAAAAAAAAGTGTTATAACAACCTAGAGTGTGGATAGCACAGTGGTAGTGATGCCTGCCTTCGCGAGCACGGTGCTGGTTCGACTCCGCCCTAGGCTCACCACGCCTATAACCTCAGGATTTGGGAAATTGGCACTGGACTAGTCTGGGAAGAATTCGCTCTCTGCAATCCAAGTGGAAACTCTTTCGTCTGGCTATCTCAGGGCTCCAGGGATAATTGATTGGACCAGCATTCAACGGCATTCGTAAATAAGACCACAGTCCTCAACCAGCAAGCGAGCTCATACACGAAAAGTTCGAAGACCTTCGTGGATGATTGCTTTAAGGAAACGAATCAAATGAGAGAAGTGATGGGACCGGTCCAGTAGATCTGAAAGACGGTTCGTATGGAATTAAATTGGAAAATAACAACCTATTATCAAGCTTTCAACACAAAAAGACTATGCGTTGTTAAAGATATTAGCGAATAAGTCAGTCGAGGTTTACTACTAGAGTGACGTTCATGATTTCCGATGAAGGAAGGAGCAATATAATACTTCATCCGTAATCGTAAGGAATATGGTGGTCGTAAGGTTATCGTGAATTTTTAATCGTTGGCGGGAGATAGGAAAATGTTCTTCTCCACCAAAGATTTACACGCTTTACAAGATTTTCATGCTTCCGACCATGTTGGACGGAATTCGACAATTTCACGAATTTGCGCTACTGCTTATGCACAGGATAGACAGGGATAAAGTGTTAGGCGTTGGTCTGTCTTTAAACGTCGTAGTCGTGATTGGATCATAACTGGCCAATACAAATTTGTACAGGAATTTTTTAAACCTTAGCAGACAAGTCTGCTACCATTTTGTTGACCCTAAAGGATGAGCGATTAGATTAGCACTGGGTTTCATACGTATAAGATTGAACCAATGACCGCATGCAGGGAAACTCTAACCACTGCGCTAACTTTTGAGGCAATTTAAAGGATGACCACCTTACACTTTACAGGCACAATATATAAAGGATACTGGGAACAATTCAGAATTTTGATAAGGTCAACACCAGAACGATTTGCTTCATCTGAATCAAAACCAGAAGACATTTTTTTGGTTCAATTTGGTGAATTGTTCACCGATGTTCATAGCAGTGTCGCCAGTTAATACACCTTTTTAATAATAAAGAAGCTAAAACATACATTATTAGCCATATTAAATGTGCAATTCCTGTGTTCCTGTCGGGCTGCGATGTACAGCGGGTGGATTCATCCCCCGCCCCCCCCCCCCCCGCGAAACTAGGCGCATGGTAACAAATCTCTCACTAATCTATAAAGGCGGCAACTGCCTGTCGTGGTGACGACCTAGGGAAGACTTTGGCCAAGATAACCTTAGAACTCCACGGAGACAAAGTGGCTAAACCAGCAAAACTCCAAGAAATGGAGAATATGCTCGGACAACCAGTAAAGGCGGGCCGTTCAAGTATTCATGTAAGTAAATATGCAATCATATTATAGCGAAAATGGTATCTATAAGACTAACTCGAAGTACCGTGTCTGTAACCACAACGATGCTGAGACATTTGCAAAATTTCGACCCCAGGCCGAATTCAAACCCGTGATTACCTTTCCTTGGGCTCACGTGTTACAGTAACTCCCACGACCGACTTTCTATTAACCTCGGCATTG